TAGACACAATTAAAACAAGGGAGGACTACGCTAAGCAGAGATGTGTGCCAGCTGCTTAAACACTATAATTGGAAGAGATTTTGACTTGGAACTGATACTAACTAGACTGAAAGCTAAAATTTTGATGTGATTGTATTCTCAACAAAACCACTAACCTGGCTTGCAAACTCTATAATTTTTCAATTTCTGAAACAACCACTAGGCTCCCAAACTTGCATCAGAAACAAGCTATGAAATTTGTACAAGCCCCACAAAAGGCCTCTGTGATGCCAACTGCAGATGTATTCTAGAAGTTAAAAGGATGAGGAAAAAATTCCTAGAAGTCAAAGTCAATGCCCAGAGGACAAGGCATAGGGAGGCCTCTTCAGGGCTCCTGGGCACAGGTTGAATTGTGACTACAATGTTATTTATCCACCGTGTTTCAAGGCCTCAGACTCTCCTCAGGTTGTACGTCAGGGTCATTCCCTCCATCCTCTGTCTCACACACTATCCAAGTCTTCGGTGCACTCACGGCTTCCTCTCCCACACTCAGCATGAATGTATCCTACTCTTTGGCTTTTTTTTTTTTTTAATCATCCTGTCTGTGAGATTTTAAGAAGGGTACATCATAAGGCATATAGTTTCACATAGCAAATGTGGAGTTTCTGGCAAGTTTTTTTTTAATTGCTGAATTGCTAAATAGGGTGGAACTTCATCTCACAAAAAAGAAACAAATAGAAAAACATCGTCAAAGACTAACAACAAAGAATTCTAGGTACTTATTCAAGGAAAAATTCCTGAACCTTAATACAAATAGCTTACACCATTTCGAACTAATGCTGTTTACAAATGCACGCTTGCGCATCACCCAGCTACCATAATGTGACAGCACTACTTGTCTGGGAAAGATGCTTTTCTCCTTCAAAAGGTATAATTTGGGCCAGGATTGTTGTGAAAACTGGAATAACCCATGCACAACAGCAAGAAATGCAGGAAGGCTAACCTCACACTTAGACTGAGGTTATATCATTGGTTGATCAATCATAAACTAACAGCCAAACCAGAAAGAAAATGAAATCTGAGATAGCTGGAGTGGTCACTGGTAAACTTTCACATATTCCTGGTGGTTTAGCACCATGGTGAAAAGAATTTTCAACCCTTGAAAATGGGCCTACAGCACACTTGGATCAATCCTGCACTCTAGTCACCTACAATCCCAGTGGCCTATGGCAGTCTGTGCCTGTCCATCTGCCTAGGAATCCCTCCTTTCCTCGTTTCCCAACTCATTTCCAGAGACTCATCTTACAAATTATCCCTTTAAAACTATCCCTAGTTTCCCCTCAACTAAGTCAGCGTCATTTTCTTTCTTGTCTTCCCATGTATCTCAGCAGTGGTCGTCCACCACGCTGAGGCTTGGGTTGCGTGTTTGGTTAGGTGCTCAGTAGTTTGAGAAGCTGCCCTGTGACTACCCCCAGACATCATGGCAATGGCAGCTCTTTTCTTCTGCAGGCTACTGTGTTTACATGTGACAGTACTGCCACCAGGGGACTTCGCACTATGTGTGGCACAGTCTATCCGTGCAAAGTTGTGTTTCTTAGTTACACCACTTTTGATTATTGATATGTAGTCTATAAAGAAATATTGATGAGTTTCTATCCAATTGGAATCATACTATACCAAGATTATAGTATTACTAGTCAACGCTGTTCTGTCTTTTTAAGGTTAAATACTATTTACTAAGTTTCCTGGTTTGTCATCAGAAGAAGGTGAATGTCGTTCAGAGTGTCACACTTTATAGCTAAGGAGTAGGCATCCACTCGGAGTCTTAGCTCTTAGGAGCAGAAGCTTTGCTCTTTGAGGTTAACCTGGGCTGCTTATGAGACCTTGTCTCCAAAATCACAGCAGCAGAGGGGGAGAGAGAGCGAGGGAGGGAGGGAGGGAGGGAGAGAGGGAAGGAGGGAAGGAGGGAAGAAGGGAGGGAAAGTGAAGTACTATAACAACACTCATTTCATCTAAGGATTTTAAATGGATTATTATAAAAAAAATCACTGTGTACTTTCATCTTATATACTATTTACTTTTAAGACGTCAGCACAAAAGGACACACTTAATGAGATGTGCTTTTAATTGAATACATTTTTGTCCATTATGGGCAAGGCCCTTTGATACCATGTGTGTTTGAAATCCCCATCCTACTAGAAATATCTTTTTTTTTTTTTCAAATCAAGGGAATTATCTCTTCTCAGAAAAGCATTCCTGTGCAGAGAAAAGCAATCATCTCATTAACTAGAATGTGAAAAGCGACAGATGACAGGGTGAGCAAGGAACAAACGTGTCAAACGGGAAGAATGCGATCGCGTGCAAAAGCCTATGCGTTACTGCTGTCTGGGAGAGCCGGCTCACGGAGGAGCAAGACGTAACGTACGTGTGAAGTCTCTCGCACGCACGTGTGGGGAGGTGTGAGTTGGGAGCCCAGCCTTTCTCCTTGGTAAGTCTTTATTAACTTGTTTCATCCTGGGGAGAATGGCTGCTTTCATTCAAATGTAGCTCAGCAAAGGCCACTGCGTAATCATTACAGCCATCAGCAAGCTGATTCATGTGCAATCGGTCCCAAAGTTACAAAAGCTGTTTCTGAGTCCTTGTTTGTGCCCACCATCTTAAGATTACATCAGAACTCAAGTATGCGGGACTTGAACTGACTTCAAAGACTAAACCGAGACTTCGGCTAGTTTAATGTTTTTTCTTTTATTGGTTCATGTTTTCCATTTGGCTCCCATATCCTGTTCTAGCTGGATGCTCCTTCTAGAATTTCTCCCACAAACCTTACAGCTTTGGTTGGTGAAACACGCTGATTAATAATGCTGTTGTGGAGGCTGAGGATTTTAGCAACCTCATGCCTCCTGCTTGGAAGAATTACATACATGCTGGTTTTTCTCCCCGTGCCTAGCACCATATTGAGCACGGCAGAATGCATCTTACATGGAGGTCTAAATGCGTTTAACCAAGAGACATTTGTGGGGGCCGTTGACACTGTTATCTGTTGCCAAAACAGTTCATCACCCAGTGCAAGCCTTTCAATGCAGCAGAAATAGAGATCTACGTTTTCCTAGTTGGTTTTTCTCCCAGTAAAACAATAAAGTAAAAATAGACCATTTTGTGACTTCTAAAAGTCCCAAATAGTGCACAGAACAATAGCGTTGTGGCTTTAGAAGAACAGATGTGTGTCTCTGTGGATCTTTGTGACAACATGAAGGGAGGAATGGTCACTATGGGGTCAGACCTGCGTGGAGACCTGTGGAGACAGCAAGGTTTACAAATGCACTTGTTTTGCTGGCAGATGCTGTGTCTAGCAACAACTCAGTCAATTCCGGTCGGTGATCTGATGCAGCTGTCATTTTAGTTAAGATGAAATGAACCGGAAATTACCTACCAAGCTTGCAGCAGATCCATACGATGCTATGGCATTTTGATTGATTCTAAGGTTCACGGCTCCACGTGCCGTCTTGGGTTAATGTCAGTAGATGTCAATTCAGTACTTTTGTGCCACGTATTCAGCCCAGACTTTCAGTGTGTTTAAACTTTGAAAAGGCTGCTTGGGTGATAGTCCTAAATTCTGGAAACTGTAGACTACAGAATGCAGCTGAGTTAAAGCCTTTAGATTTCTTGGAATTCCAGCCGATAAAGAGGAAAGACCACTTTAAAACTCAGTCGCTGACCTGGAGCATAGCACGTACGTGTAGCTGGCAAAGTGTCTCACTTAGCAGATTTCTACACTGTAGGAGAAGGTCTGTGTCATGGGTTCAGCAACCAGCACCCACCACCACATTGGAAGCACTGCTTGCCCCGCCCCCTCACTACCTTAATCCCCATATGTTTGAAAGTCACACACACACACACACACACACACACACACACACACACACACACACACACAC